AAGGCTGTGTTTCGCATGAAAGTGATTTCTGAGAACGGGATCCTACGGAGGATCTCAGACACAGTTAGCTTGCTGCATTATCTTCCTCTTCCATACGTCTCCCACCTTATCACTGTGGGACTCGGACTCTCATCACATCCCCAGTAACCTAAAAACAGCCCATCGATAAACCTCTTCTACGCTGACCTTTTTGTGATCCCAGGGTAATTTCCAGTGGGAGTCGAGATGATGTTAGTTTCCCTCCTGACCAGAACGCGAGCATAATTGAGACGGATGCGTTCTGTCGCAGACACAAGGAGGGGAAATATGTCTTCAGATGATGGAAACGGAAAAATAAAAAAAATTTAAAAAACGAACAAACCTCCAGGCAAGAACGAGGTTGCTTTTGAAACAGACGCAACAAAAGATTCAAAAGGAATCCACACATGACGGAAGAAGTTATAAAATCTTTGTGAACAATGTTTTGTTTTTCTTTTTTTTTTATTGGTTCAGTGTCGAGTTTGTTTGTCTGGGTATCTTCCAACTTCAACACAATGTACATCAATGGGAATTCATTATTCGTGAGAATGAGTCTCAGAAAATATGTTTTTCAATGAAAACACGCCGGGTCAGATTCCTGTCACACCCATAGACAGGGGTTGAGAGAGCAAGGCTGTTTTCAACCATCTTGAAATGCGTCTGTTTGAGTAGCGGGGGATAAAAACACTAAATGTCTTTGATTAACAAGAAAAGGTCACTGGAAACTTCAACTGACAGCAAAATGAAGACCGGCATGTTCTCCATTTTGAAGAGCGGCTAAAAAAAAGTTCTCTGTGCTGTTTCATCTGAACGACCCCAGGGGAACAGGACGGCATGGATTACTAAGAATAAATTTAAAAAATCTGATTATCTAAAAAAAAGGACTAAACATTCTCAAAGTGAAGGTTGTCCATGCCAGAATATGGTGCAAATAATGCACAAATAAAAAAAATTGAACCACTTACCAATAAAATGATGCAATTATGTTACAGTAACATCACAGTCCGCTATGGATGTGTAAACATTTCAACCTAAAGGTAATCTACCGGTCACTGCATCGATGAACCTAATTTCAGTTCTGGAATCCCAAGATGGTGGCGAAATGGACACACAAAAGTGTTTTGCCACTGTTTTAGTAAATTCTTCAGTGCTAGAGTTGAATGCTGGCAGCTTACTATAGCTAACCGTAGCATTAAAGCTATTTTCCAAACAGCCAAATTCATAGCAGTTACCATACCCTAGCTAGCATTTAGCTTTTACCCATTAGCATTAATTTCAGTTTGGAGTCACATTAATTTTCATGAGAATGTTTCGCGTCCAAGCATGAAATGTAGAAATTACAAGTAATCCAGGTTGAAAGAGAGAGAGGGAGGGAAAAAACACACACATATGTTTCCTCAAAGATATTTTAAACGTGCCGTCTGGGTTTTTGTGAAGATGGGCTTTTTGGGTTTTCATATTTGGAAAATTACTTGCAGCAGATTGAAGTTTTCTAATAAGTGATTTTGTAGAAGTGGAGAAATTCTCATCCAGATGAAAGACAACACTTGGTTAGCCAGAATACATAATAGGAGGGCAGGGAGCGTCTGAGGCAACTCGTGGTAACTCGGAGAATCAACTTGGTGGGAGAAGAATCCGACTGGAAGCTACATTTCAGTCCGAGTCGTTCTCAGGACCCGCCACCGTCGGGCCATTTCCGGTTCAGACGTTCAACAAATGATTGATTCTCAGGCTCCAATTCGGACCTCCAACCCAAACCTTTCGCTTATGTTACTTTTACAAGGCAATTAAATAATAGATCCTTTAGACTCTTGTGTTTGTTTTTCTGATTATTCACTCCAGTGTAAGAACTTGCAGAAACCCTTTGAGTAATAATACAAAGAGGTTCATTGAACCAAATGACTGAAGATCTTTTGTAGTTGTCTACTTGTGGAAAAGCTAAAAAAAAATTTCAGACGAGGACAGCCATCTTAGACAAATTGTACCTTTTTTTTCTTCTTTTCAGCACGGAATCAGACTGGAAACTTGCGTTCATTAGAAGACTTTTTCTGGGAGTGGGGGGAAACCAGGACAAGACACAGGAAGACCTTAGAGGTTTACTAATGAAACGACGGGACAGGCTGGAGATCAGCTGTTCTAGAGCACGAAGACAGTATGAGCAACTTGAGATCAGTGAAAGCATATCGAAAGAAGAGCATTTCAGGTTGAAGTTGGACAATGTGGCGATGGGCTTGGGGCCCTGCTGGTTCCTTTAAACTCTGACCCGAGGGCCTGGCGGCTCACAGGAGGTGAGCAGCGCCATCAGGTTAGCATTGCCTCCCAGGAGAGGCTGATTTATGGCGGATAAAGGAGTTGCTACTGATGATAACAATTACAAAACGGAAATCATAACCCACTGTGACAATGTTTCCAAGCATTAAAGAGCAAAATTCTTTTCTTCTTTATTTTGCTCTCTTCCTCAGTTATAATGAAATTAATCAGCTGAGTTGCTTCCTGTCTCTGATGTGTATTCTTCATGTGTACTCAATAGCTCCAGGGTCAGAGTTAACCAACTGGGGACACTGCTTTGACTCAGACACATTTTACTGCCTCAAGTTTCCACAAGAGAGAAATAAATCAACATTAAAATCAATAGTCTTCACGGAACTTATTACAGAACAAACAAACAAAAAGCCAATAATGAATGAAATGGTCACGTCCACTTTGGGGATTCCAGGTTAATCTTGTAAGTTTATGAAACTTTCCCACCAGCGGTTTTGATGCAGTCGACGACAACGGCGCAAGTACGCGTTGAGGCTTTGCGGCTACGTCCGCTGCAGCAGAGGAATGAGAAGAAAAAGAAAGAAAAAAAAAGAAGCTGAAATCAAAGATCCAGTGCGAGGTGAGAGGGATGGGACTGACACAAAAAGGAGCAGGAAAATAATAAAGAACAAACCCACAGGAAAGAAAACATAGACAAACACATTACACGTAATAAGGAAATGCCCAGACAGCGTGTCGGGCACGCAAACTGCCGAACTGACCTCTATTGATCCGAAACTCGAATCATGTCATGAACAAACACACACACATACATATACACACACATACACGCCTACTCTCTTGGAGGTCCCATCAATATCCTTTATTGAGAAACCTCTCTGGCAGTTTGCATCTGGTCTTAATTACATGTAGGGGTTGAAGGCTGGATCAGTCAGAGCAGGACAGGAGAACCGGTGAAAATACAGTAAGTCTGCTTGTGCTTTAATTAGGACCAACACACAATACACACCCAAGAGATCCCTTCGAGCCCTCCAATTAATTAACATGACTTTTGATTGTGGTAGGAAGATAAAAAAAAAAAAAAAAAAAGAAAGTCGGAGTAAATTATAATTCGCTTTATGGAAACGACGGCGGCTCGCACAAGTCTCCACGCGCTTGGCTTAAAAACCCAGCAGAAGCGAGATGGAAACCACAGGAGCGCACAGCTTGCACAGAAGATTTTGAGCTGTGATGTTCCACATGCAGGCTCCCATGTCTGCTTCGTTGTTTTCAAACTGAGATATTTGGTCCATTAAAATCTGTTCAATTCCTTTGGGCTCAGTGCTCTAGAAGGCTTTTGGGGAGAACTTGTTTGGATCAGATCTACATTATTCATGACAAGCTGCCCCTGACAGAGAGCGACAGACTTCCACCATGTTCTCACTGAGACAATCAGACAAGATGCATCACATTTCTTCACGCTGCATGTTTAATTTTGCCAATGGGTCTTGTCTGAGTTTGAGGTTTTGTGCTCAGATTGGAGTTGTGAGGAAGATGCTGATCCAAAGTAACAACCGTAATAAGAATGCAAAGATAAATTCGTCAGACGGTAACATGGAAACGATTTTCGGAGTTTTGGGTGGTCGGCTGATCCATGCATGAGAAATTGATCTAGTGCACGGATCCGCAAAGGTCTGAAAATGAGCCACTGTCCATTTATTCTTTGACCAAAAGGTCTGAACGTGTGCGGTTGATAATCACCCCACTACAGCCGACTCAGCAACTTTGTCGCTATCTTTAGCAACTTTTCAGGCAAAAAATTTTGGGATGTGCCAAAATCGGGATCAGCACATCAGGCTTTTTTTTAAAGACTGGTTAACAGCCAGAAATCTGGACTCGGTGAACGCCTTCGTCTTTAGCGACGTAACTGCTGTCTCACGATAGAAAAGCATGTGATGACTCGGGCACATTGAAAACTGATTTTATTAAAACCCACCTTTAAACTCAATTGGAGTCAGTGTTTGTAAATTAGAAAAAGTTACTAGCAGACATTTTCAAAGCCAAGACCAAAAACAATTCTATCTCCCATCGCACATTTGCAACAAACATCTTAAGGATGTTAGAAACCTTTGGGTTAATATGGGCTGGTGAGACAAATGTGGAACGTTTTTTGATGGTTTATACAGGTTGTTAACATCTGGACATCTGCATGAACCTGCATGGAAGTTTTTGGAATGGCCTATTCAAGGTCCAAACATAAAAATGTTTGACCCTTGGTAGTCTATTTGTGCTAGAAAAGCCTCTACTGTGGCAACTTCGAAACAGCTCTGCAAGGACTGGGCCAGAATTCCTCCAATAATCACCAGTTATTACAAATACTTGACTGGTTTGTAGCATTCACAGTTTTCTTTTTTTGCATTGATTTGGCAACATTTTTCCCTCAATAACAGAAATCACAACTTGAAACTCGCATCGTCTTTCTCCCGATAGCGATACGTGTTTGAACAGAAACAGTTCAAATTTAAAGATAGCGAGATATAGTTGTTTGTTTTTTGTCGCAGGTTGTCCAAAGACCCCGGCTTAGTAACGTGGGAGTTATGGTGAAAATATTAACTTAAAGCAAGATGTTGAAATGTTTTCATGGTCAGTAGTGAAAGTGCAGAAACTCCCAGTTCAGCTCTAGAGTGTCTGCACAGATGATTCGGCACTTCCTGTATCCTCTCATCGCTACCTGCAGTAACCTCCGACACATCAGCCTCCCGCTCACAGACAGGTGACATGCAGTAAAGGTCGATGGCCTCCTGCCTCCCCGCCAGGCACCGACCGCAGCTTCAAATCAATAACACCAGCTGAAAACAATAATTGGGATTTCTTTTGCACTCTTCTTCCTTTTTTTAGCATTCTGACTCTAAATTAATTTCTCTGAGGACAAAGATCTACATTTTGACGCACATTTGCGGTGAATTATACATCAGGACCGCCTTCGTCCACGTTCAGCGTGTGGTTTCGATGGGCGGCTACCCCCTGTGCATCGCCGGCCTCCGGTTCTCCATTTGTATTCTGCTCGTCTTTGCACTTTTTTGGCAGAGGTCTATAAGCTATCTTTACACTGAGCCTCAAACAGCCAGTGGATCCCAGCCAGGCTTGACATTTAGAGTCTTTCCAGTTCACAGGATGCCCTCTGGGGGGAAATATCAGAGCAGACAGCCATGACGAGACACTTAGTTTGCTTCATCTCACCAAGGGTACGCACAGTGTCTCAGAGATTTATGATTTTGAGTCTAAATTACTGTTCAAATCAAAAAAGAAAAAAAAAAACACCCCAGGGGGAACGAATAGCAAACCTCCACCAAAAAGCAGAATTGTCTTGTTTCATGTGTGGAAATCCCTCAAAGACAACTGTCAACACGTTTACCTCAGCCATGTGATGCGTGTGCAGCACGATTCAGGCCGCGGTTACCGCAGCAATCTGGAAAAGATAAGAAAAATAAACTGTGCATTCTGACGCACAACTTAGTTTAGATATGGAGCTTTGCAAAAAATATTCACACCAGGAACAGATCCACACGGCTCAGTGTGTTTCATTGGGGGTTTTCATGTGAAAGCATTTTTACAATTTTGAAAAAAAAAAAAACGTTAAAAGTTTGGTGCACTGGAGTGTTTGCTCATAAATGTTATGTTACGAAACCTGCTGAAGATTAATCACAACTCACAGTTCTGCACGATTTAGGCGACTAATAAAAACATAATTTTATTCAAGGACAGGCAAACAGATTCACGTCACACTTTTCTGATTTATATTTGTGAAGTTATTTGTTCTATTTATAGTTATTGGTCTGTTACATGAAATGGTAATAAAAAAAACACATTGATGTTTATTGTCATAATATTGTTGAGGATATTAATATTTTTACAGGGTGTTGTTCTGACAAACATTCTCTGCATGAGCAACATTTTGCATGCAAATATGTTTCAGTCACTTTCAATTTAAATTGCCTTTCATCATGTGATTACTGTAATGTTGCCTTTTAATATTACATGACCTTGCACATGAGTCTACCGTATGCCTATTCTTCAGCTGTAATTTCCATGAATTATGAATTCAGTAAATAAATCGGTTGATAAGAGTCATATGGGATAAGATTTCCATGTGCTACACTGAGCTGGGTAAACATCAATATGTTTTTTCTGATGTATATTGTGGGATAGATTATTCTGTGTGTTCATTTATACATTACAAACATTAAGAAGTAGTGCTTCAGTGAAATCTTCAGCAAAGACATTTCAGTTTTTTGGTTTCCAGAGCTGTAATATATATATATATATATATATATATATAACTTCTTAATTCCCTTCTCACCCCCCGCGGGTGGTTCTTATCCTCTGAGCTCGGGTCCTCTACCAGAGGCCTGGGAGCTTGAGGGTTCTGCGCAGTATCTTGGCTGTGCCAAGGACTGCACATTTCTGGACTGAGATGTCTGATGTTGTTCCTGGGATCTGTTGTAGCCACTGCTCCAGTTTGGGGGTTACTGCCCCGAGGGCCCCGATGACCACAGGCACCACTGTGGTCTTCACCTTCCAGGCCCTCTCCAGTTCTTCCCTGAGGCCCTGGTATTTCTCTAGTTTCTCGTGCTCCTTTTTCCTGATGTTGCAATCACTTGGTATTGCTACATCTACCACAACGGCTTTCCTCTGATGTTTATCCACTACGACAATGTCTGGTTGGTTCGCCATTACCATTTTGTCTGTCTGGATCTGGAAGTCCCACAGGATCTTAGCTCTGGTGTTCTCCACCACCTTTGGGGGTGTTTCCCACTTTGATCTTGGGGTTTCCAGTCCATATTCTGCACAGATATTTCTGTACACTATGCCTGCCACTTGGTTATGTCGCTCCATGTACGCTTTCCCTGCCAGTATCTTGCACCCTGCTGTGATGTGCTGGACTGTCTCAGGGGCCTCCTTGCACAACCTACACCTTGGGTCTTGTCTGGTGTGGTAGATCTGGGCCTCTATTGCTCTGGTGTTTAGGGCCTGTTCCTGGGCTGCCAGGATGAGGGCCTCTGTGCTGTCCTTGAGTCCAGCTTTTTCCAGCCATTGGTAGGATTTACTGATATCAGCCACTTGGGTTATTTGCTGGTGGTACATCCCATGTAGGGGTTTGTCCTCCCATGATGGTATCTCTGGCACCTCAACCTCCGTTCCCTGTTGTCTGAGACATTCACTGAGCACATTGTCTGTTGAGGCTTTGTCCCTGATGTATTTATGGATCTTAGTTGTTTCGTCCTGGACAGTGGTTCTCACACTCACTAGTCCTCTGCCTCCTTCCTTGCGGCTCGTGTACAGTCTCAGGGTGCTGGATTTGGGATGGAACCCTCCATGCATGGTTAGTAGCTTTCTGGTCTTAATATCTGTGGCTTTTATCTCCTCCTTTGGCCAGCTAATTATTCCAGCAGGGTATCTGATTACTGGCAAGGCATAGCTGTTTATCGCACGGATTTTGTTCTTGCCATTGAGCTGGCTTCTCAGGACTTGCCTTATTCGTTGGAGGTATTTAGCTGTGGCTCCTTTCCTTGTGACCTCATCGAGGTTGCCATTTGCTTGTGGTATACCTAGGTACTTGTAACTGTCCTCTATGTCTGCTATTGTTCCTTCTGGGAGTGAGACCCCTTCTGTGTGGATGACCTTCCCCCTCTTTGTGACCAGCCGACCACATTTCTCTAGTCCGAATGACATCCCAATGTCCGTGCTGTAGATCCTGGTGATGTGGATCAGTGAGTCGATGTCTCGCTCACACTTGGCGTACAGCTTGATGTCATCCATGTAGAGTAGGTGACTGATATTGGCCCCATTTTTGAGTCTGTATCCGTAGCCAGTCTTGTTGATAACTTGGCTGAGGGGGTTCAGGCCTATGCAGAACAGTAGCGGGGACAGAGCATCTCCTTGGTATATGCCACATTTGATGGACACTTGTGCAAGTGGTTTGCAGTTGGCTTCAAGGGTGGTTTTCCACAGCTTCATCGAGTTTGCAATGAAGGCTCTCAGAGTCCTGTTGATGTTATACATCTCTAAGCATTCAATGATCCAAGTATGCGGCATTGAGTCATAGGCTTTCTTGTAATCAATCCAAGCCATGCACAGGTTGGTGTGTCGGGTTTTGCAGTCTCGGGCAACTGTGCGGTCTACGAGGAGTTGGTGTTTGGCTCCTCTGCTATTTACAACGATACCCTTCTGTGCCGTGCTCATGTGTTTATCCATGTGTTTGCTTATCTTGGCCGCTATGATGCCTGACATGAGCTTCCAGGTTGTGGAGAGGCAGGTTATTGGTCGGTAGTTGGGTGGGATTGGACCCTTTGATGGATCCTTCTGGATTAGGATTGTCCGCCCTTCAGTTAACCATTCAGGGTGAGTCCCACTTTGTAGCAGCTGGTTCATTTGGGCTGCCATTCGCTCATGGAGAGCAGTGAGTTTCTTTAGCCAGTAGGCATGGATCATGTCAGGCCCTGGTGCTGTCCAGTTTTTCATACCTGAGACTCTTTCTTGGACATCTGTCACAGTGATGGTTACCGGGGCTTGCTCAGGGAGGTTGCTGTGGTCCTCTCGTAGAGAGATCAGCCACTGTGCATTGCTGTTGTGGGACGCCTCCCTTTCCCATATGCCTTTCCAGTATTGTTCAGTCTCCAGCGTTGGTGGGTCTGCTCTGTTGTTATTACCCTGCCATTGAGAGTACACCTTAGCTGGTTGAGTGGAGAACAGCCGGTTAATCCTTCTGGATTCATTCTCCCTTGTGTATCTCTTTAGGCGGCTGGACAAGGCTTGGAGCCTCTGTTTGGCAGTCTCGAGTGCTTCAGGTATGGGCATCTGCCTGTACTTTCTGGGTACTGGTCTTTTCATTGCACCCTTGTGGAGCTCTGACAGTTGGCTCACTTCCCTCCTTGTTACCTTGATTTTAGCCTCTAACCGTCTTTTCCATGGTGGGTATTGGGTCTCATGGTTGCTCTTATAGCCAAGTATCTCAAGGATCACTGATGCTGAGTTGTAGATCAGCTCATTGGTTTCTGTTATGGTGTTGGTAGGGATCGTTCTCAATGCTGCATTCACATTCTCAATGAGACTTTCAGATGGTACTTCACTCAGCCGTTGTAATTGGCGCCGGGGAGGCCTGGTTGTCATTCGGGTCATGATTCTCTCTCTCAGGTCAGCAGCTGTCTCGTTCAGCTCTGTTTCGCTCATTGGGGCCGTGTACCCCCTCACTGGGTGGGGACTTGTAGTTAAGTCCCCACAGTCCTGACATCCGGGTTCCTCCCTTTTGCCGTAGCATTTGTGTTGTATCTCGTCAATCTCAAGTTGTGATAGCAGTTGCCGTTTGCGGATGTTGGAACACTGAGCTACTAGTTGTTTAGCGCTTAGTGTTGACTGGGGATGTCGAAGTAACCATTCCTTCCCCAGTCTTTGCATGTAACCTCTCTCACTAGGGTTACTTGAGTAGTAGCATTCCAACAGATCCACATTTTCATCTCTCGCCCATTTCCGTCTTGTTCCAGTAGCCCATTTGTCATCAAGGTGCTCTGGTTCCCCAACACCTGACGCAGACCTTGTTTGGCCGGGCGACGTCTGAGCCGGCATGTTATGCAACTTAGTATCTCTCATGGTATGAGGTAGGCAGTAGCTTGAAGGGTCTTGCCTAAGGACCCAGACTGGATTCGAACCCTGCCCTCTCGGGTGATATACTGATGCCTTATGTATTGAGCT